AAATGCGTTTGGTAGTTTTATCAAGATATTATTTTTAATATAAAAAAATTTATTAATGTCTCTATCTGTGATCTAGAGAGGAAAAAACGGAAACAAAAAATAAAAAACGACAAAAAATTATTTTTTATTTCTATCTCATTTTACACTAAATTAAAAAATTATTTTCATTTCTATTTTTATCTTTAATTGTGTCAAACGTCATTTCTCTCTCATTTTTTTTCTCAAAAAATATGAAAAAAAAAAATAAAACCAACTCCAAATATGACCTTCATCAAAAAAAAAGTTTTTGATTTCATCAGGTCTCCCACAAAGTTTGACCACCAACTTTTACAACGACTAAAATTCAACCCACATCAACGGCAGTTGCGCAGTTTAAAACTTGAAATTAGCTTCCAAAAATTTATTCGCATAGACAATGAAAGTAATTTAATGGAGTGCTTATGGCTTAGATTCTCCCTTTTCCATCACTTTTCTTTACCTTTTTTTTCTTTTAAAATATGTCCGTTTGCAAAGGATCTGTGATTATTATCAACTTAAATCGAGTAAAAAATCATTTCATACGACTTTTTTTTTAATTGTTTTCTCTTTCGGCTAAAGAATGTCCCTTTTTATTTTTATTTTTTTGGCTAAAGAATATCCTTTTTTCTATTGCTTAGATCTAAGCAACGTTCATTAAACGACAACAGTTCCTTTAGATTTTAGAATCTTTGTTGCCGATGAGAGTTTCAACGTTGGTTCACTGTTTTCAATATCAAACATAGTGTCTCCTGGGTGGCCACTTAGGATATAGATCTATGTAATTTTTATTTATTTCTTTCTTGATCTAGCAACCCCTATATTTTGTAATACTTAATTTTTATCCTTATAGTAATAAACTGTCTATTTTAAAATGAAATCTAACACTATGATAAGGCTTTAAGGATAGAGAAAAAGGTTTAAGAAAGCAATATCTAAAACAAAAGGTATTAAAAAAAAAAAAAAACAGATGGTATTGTCTATTCTAGATTGTTTAGATCTTATTTTTTTCACAACTCAAGTTTATTATTATAATATTTTCTTTTATAAAAATTCAAGCTAAACTTTTTTATTACAATATTTTCCTCTCACATACACAATTTCTTTTAAAATAAATTATAATGCTTATTTCTTTTATCATTTTATCCTTTTTAAAATATTCAGCTGCCTATGAAAAAAAAAAGAAGAAAAGAACACCCATTACTATGATAAATTTCATCCATAAAAGGATAAATAACACTTTTTCTTCCTGAACTATAAGTCTTGCCACAAAATGCTCATGAATTTTAATTTTAGCTTTTTTCTCTCTCAAACTTTAACAACTCTTGTAAATTTTCCCGTCAACTAAATTTTTAGCAAAAAATATCACTTAAAATGTCAAAACTAAGAAAAAAACTCTTTTATGTTAAGATTTTTAACAAAAATAACATATATCACATAAATAATGAGTGTCATTGAACTATTTTTAGTACACAATTACTTTATTAGCTCCTTATTTAGTCACACAAAATTGTAATTACACAGTAAAAGTTGTCATTTTTTTTACTACACCAACTATATCTTAATTTACTTGGCCTAAAAAACCTTAGAGGTTCATCGATTTGCAAGAGTTATAATTTGTGACAAAACCTTAATTTACTTGACAGCCAATAGTAATAAGAGACGCAAAAATTTAATTGAAGAGGAAAATTTGCAAGAGTTACTTAAGTTTGGGGGGAAAATTAAAATTAAAATTCAGGTATAATTTATGACAAAACCTATAATTTAGGAGGAAAACATGTAATTTATTTTAAAAAATATGTACCTATTTTAATTACTGTGTATTTTTATTAAGTCGTAGTCCTAGATTTACCGTATGATGACATTATTAGTTGTATTTACCATATAATGACATTGCAATTTGCAAATGACCTACAACGCTCTGGCAAGAATAAAAGTGTAGTTCACTGATTTGAGTTTTTAATTTAAGTTAAGATGTGATTTTATATGAGAATTTTTTTGTAATAAAAAAATTAAATGTGATTATTTCTGAAAACTTATACTATAATACAATTTAAATTCTAAATTCAAATCAGTAAAAAGAATAAAAATTGGGTGTTTGGTATGATAGTTCAAATCATAGTTCGCGGCTTGTTACAGTGTAAACTAAAAATAATTTTGAATTATGGTTTTGAATCTATGAATTAAAAGCCGGTTCATTTTACCAATTCAAGTTTATAATTCGAGTTTTATTATAGTAAAAAGTTCACCAGTCACATCTAACTTTTTTGCTACAATAAAAGGTACTCACATAAAATTATATCTTAATTTAAATTAAAAACTCAAATCAACGAATTAAATATATCTTAAAGGCCCATTTAATTCATTAATTTGAGTTTTTAATTTAAATTGAGATATAATTTTATGTGATTTTCTTATAAAAAAAGTTAAATAGAACTATTTTTAAGAATTTTTTAATATAATAAAATTTAAATTAATAAAATAAATAAGATGCGGTTCTATTTTTTTTATTATAATAAAAAATTTTCATGTAATATCACATCTTAACTCAAATTAAAAATTTAAATTAACGAATCGATAGGTCGTAAATATTCACTTAAATTCGAGTCGGTGAAGAGAAAGAAATCTAAAGAGCTCAAAGCTGACAATAGAGTCCCTGACATATGATTCAGCACTTAGCAATGGGAGAGGACACATTCCCAGAGAGAGAAAAAGGGCGGAGGGAACAAAGACTTATAGGCCACCACTCATCAGTCACTGACTGAGGCAGCAGAGTGATTCCCTTGACATGTGACTGATTTCTTTTTTTTTTTCTTCTCTCTTTTTTTCTTTTGGATGCAGACAAACGTCTTCCCCACTTACCCTCTGACACTCCCTCGGTAGTTGTGCACTTTGTCATCCAGCACTAGGCACTGCTATTTCCCACTTCCTCAAAACACGCAATATGAACTGTAATTTGTAACCCAAAGCCCATTTGGGCCCAACTCCTTCTAAATTTAGGAAATTTATAAATAAAAGGGGTAATTTTAATAAATACTTAAGTCTCGTTAATTTTACCAATTCGAGTTTTTAATTTTAAGTTTTTACAGTAAAAAATTTTTAAAAAATATCACATTAACTTTTTGTATTACAATGAAACGCTCTCAGAAAATGTCACATCTCAGCTCGAATTAAAAACTCGAATCCGCGAAGTGAACGAGGCATAAGTTGATAAATCAAGATTTTTATCTTTTATTTTTAATTTATAATTTTTTTTAGTTAAATAATTATATTAATAAAAGAGTATTTATCATGAATAAAAAAAAAAATTTAGACTCATAAACTCTTAATTATAAATTCTCTATTTTTTCGATAAAAAATAGATTTTTAAGGACTTCTCTATGGATGGAGTATGTTTGTGATTGAATATAATTAAAATTATATAAGATTAAAAATACACAATTTATGATATAAATTTAATAATAAAAAATAAAAATTACTCGCAATTAATTTTTTTTTATCATACTAGAGAAAATCCCCACAAAAGTGTTTATGTGCCCCAACTCTATATTTACTTTTAAATAATCTAGGTTTACAGTTATGACCTTCTTATAGTTAAATTGTTTATCTACGAGCACATGTTGCACGATGATGGATCATAAGCATTTTAAGAGGAATAAATTTAAAAAAAAAAAAAAAAAAAAAAAAAAAAAATTTTTAAAAAAAAATTTTTTTAAAAAAAAAAAAAAAAAAAAAAAAACAAGATCTTTAAAAGAAAATTTTTCTAAAAGAAAAAAAAATCTGGACTGAGTGATACAATTTGATTTTGATTTCAAATCAGATTTATTCTTGCTCAAATTTTTTTTTTTTTCAAAGCTACTTGTTTTTTTGACTGCTTTATCTCGTTTAATACTCTTAACCATCATTTAATTGTTTGACTAAGGTCGGAGTGAACAATTAAATATTGGTGGATAAAATGAGATAGAAATAAGTGCATATTTTCATTGGCCAATAGTATGAACAATTCTTTTATTAAAAACTATAAAAGCTTGGATAAAACTAGAAAAATATATACTATTTTTAACCTATATTTTTAATTTCTTTTACTTTCTCCTATAACTGCCCTTCATAAGTTAATATATAGAAAAAATTGACCACAAAAAAATTTATCTTTTTATATAAAGGATGCAGATCCTTATTACCCCTTAAATAAGAGGAATGCTTATACATATCTCCATCATTTATGCTCTAATTTTTTTTTTCATTAGTTTTTCTATAGTAAGACCTCGTAAGTACGCGATTTTGATAATTGAATATGGACAATAACATCAAAATAAATAAATACACAAATATATTGGTGATTATGATACATAATTTGACAGCCGAAAAACAAAGCTATACGATTAGTTATTTTTCAGCTCCTTACAAATCTCTTCGTTTAAAATGGGTAAGGTGGACATATTCTGTGATTTACTCCTAAAATTTTGAAAAATGCTTAAGGGCACCACTAGTGTTAAACACCACCATCTAATAGAAGATGGACTCTATCTGTGAGTCTCACGCTATGAGACTCACCTTCTATTAGATGGTGATGTTTAGCACCATTGGTATCTTATAATATTGCTCTAAAATTTACATTTTATTAGATGGTGGGAAAAGGAATATTACTTATAGTCTCCCCCACAAATTAGGTCCACAATTTACCATCTTTGCGTAAATAAACTTTTAAAAGTAGGGAAAAATCATTAGTGTATCATCCCTAACTAATAACTCAACTACTATGTCAATTTCCCTTGCATACTATTTAATTTTGGTCATGCGATTTTTATATATTTTTAGATTAGAAAATTTACAGCAACATAGGATACAACATAGGATAATTATAAAAGTATGAATGCAAAAAGAGTTTTTTTTTTTTTTTTTTTTTTTTCTTTTTGAAAAACGAGGGAGAGAGCTGGTAAGCAACACTCCCCTTTCCTTTTTTGTCTATATAAGTCCCTTACCCACACTCTTCTCCGAGAGGGAAGAGGTCTCAGACCGTATAACCCACACTCCCCCTTCTTCATTGTCCAAATCAAGGCGTCCTTTCTCTGTACCCCCAACAACTTCTCTGCTTCAGTCATGGCGATTCCTCAGGCGCAGCTTCTCCTCACTTCTCTCTTCCTTTCTCACATTCTAGGTACTCTCTGTTACATAAAACACAAAAATCACAACCACATTCTCTTATATACAACAAAATCAAACATAAATCAACAACATTGACCTAAAATCCACTTTTTCTTTTCGTTTGATGAATGCTAAAAGGCCACTACTTCTCACCACCATTTTCTCACATGAATTCCACAATATTTCTCTGTAAAATGAAGATCACATTTAAAGCTAGCTAAAAAGAGAAGGAAAAAAAAAATCGAAAATTAAATTAATCCATCACACAAACAAAATGCAAACTAAAATATTGTCAAGAGATATTTTCTTACATGTTTAGCTAGACTAACACAAAGATATATCTAGCATTGGGATCACAGTAGTGGTACACTTTTTTCTCTCAAACGTTTGCATTTATTTGTGTCTCCCTTTTTGCAGTACACCAAGTCGTCTCCGCCTCAACCACCATAACTCTCTACAACAAGTGCAAGCACCCCGTGTGGCCCGGAATCCAGCCGAGCGCCGGCCAGCCCATCCTCGCCCGCGGCGGCTTCAAGCTGCCCCCCAACAAGGCCTACGCACTCCGCCTCCCACCTCTCTGGTCCGGTCGCCTCTGGGGCCGCCACGGCTGCGCCTTCGACGCTCACGGCCGAGGCCGCTGCGCCACCGGCGACTGCGGTGGATCCCTCTTCTGCGCCGGCGCCGGCGGTGCTCCTCCGGCCACTCTCGCCGAGATCACCCTCGGAAACGACCAGGATTTCTACGATGTCAGCCTCGTCGACGGCTACAACCTCGCCATTTCCATAACGCCCTCCAAGGGCTCCGGTAAATGCAGCTACGCCGGCTGCGTAAGCGACCTCAATGTCATGTGCCCGGCTAGCCTTCAGGTCCGCTCCGGCGACGGGCGGCGCGTGGTGGCCTGCAAGAGCGCGTGCTCGGCTTTTAACTCGCCCAGGTACTGCTGTACGGGCAGCTTCGGGAGCCCTCAGTCTTGCAAGCCGACGGCGTATTCGAGGATTTTCAAGGCGGCTTGTCCGAAGGCGTATTCGTATGCGTACGATGATCCGACCAGCATTGCGACTTGTACTAAGGGCAACTATTTGGTTACTTTCTGTCCTCACCATCGTTAGGGTTTGGAGCAGTTACTTGGGGGTATGAATCTGGAGTTAATTAGTTGATTAATCATTATTAGATATGAGTTTATAAGTACACTTTTGAAATATTATGTTATTATAAATACTGTGTTACCGAGTAATTATGATCGGTTTGGTTAATGGGTTTGCGTTAATGAACTTGTTTTTCCATCTAGCGACTGATGGTTTAGTTCTCTATTAGAGCTGCCTTTTTTCTCATCTCTCGGTTTGGTTTTTTGTTTTTTCTCTCAACTAGGATTCTCTGGGTATGTATAGGAATTTTTATGGTAGGATACGTGTTTTGCCATAAGTACGTTGCTGTAGTCGTTTCATTAATTTTTCAAGAATCTGATTTATGATTTGTCACGTTTTAGACCGTTGAAAAATTAAGTTAAAATAAAGTTATAAACCACAATGAAAAAGAACAACTATTATTATAGAGAATCTCAAAATAATGTTTTTAGTGTAGTACTATACGGTTACTGTTATTTTGATAATTGTATTATACTCTTTAACAATTAACAATGTGATTTATGATTATAACAGTTTTGTGCGGTGTCTGTAAATTTTATGATAAGAAATCTTAAAAATAAAAACGTATGGGTTATGATTGTGAGAGAATTAATTGGTCAAATTTGTTTCAATTTGAATAGTAAGTAAAACATCAGTTAGATTTGCTCTGGGTGCACCATTATGTTCGAGCACCATTATGTTCACAAAATAATAATTTTGTTTATTACGCTAATGATCAACTGTAATTATTGTTGTGACTTATATAGTAATTATTATAATTATAAGTGGTTATAATGGTAATTATTAGTATCATATGTTAAATTTTAAATTAGTTTTTTTAGATACACAATTCAAAAGTTTAAATGAAGAGAAAAATTGAAATCTTGAATTTTGTGAAGGGTAATTTTAACAATTTAACTTTATGGGTTGTTAATGTGAGTGTTAAAAAAAAAAAAAAAAAAAAAAAATATAAAAAAAATAATGTTAGTCAAAAGAAAATATTTATAATCGTTGTTATTTTGGTAAATAACCCCCTATTTCATTGACTACCAATTTCCTCCCTCTTTGTTTTTCAATCCCCTCCTCCGTCCGTCCCTTCCAATCAGTTTTGATCCGTGCAATTTGTTACCCTTCCTCCCACTCAATTGATTTGTACCCACTTTTATATGTTTTCTGATGCAAATAGTAGTAACTTTGCCACAACCAATTTATTTGCAGAATAGTGTAGAAAACTCGGCAAAGAAAGACAAGAAACGCAAGATAAATTGATGCACAAGTCAAAGAGAAAGAATTGAGTTTCAGTTTTGATGGATTTGAAAATGCATCTGTGTTATGGTGTTTAACTTTGAAATTGATTGTGATCAATGGTTTTCCTTTTTAAGGGATATTGTTAATGATTTTATTTTACAGAAAACTTATTTGGATGCAAGGCTATAACTGTAATACAAAAATATCTTTTAATTAAAGGGATGCTTTAATAAAAGAATGGGGTGTGAATAAAATTTCCCTTATTAATACTTAAAAATGACAAGTCCAATGGTAAAAAGCTCCTTAAATTAAATTTGAAACTGTTATATTTGAATATTAATAGACAAGAAAGTTCGGGTAGATTCGGGTTAAAATATTATAAGATATTTTCAATAAGAAATTAAAAAGAAAGTGTTTGGGCCGGGCTGGCCCAACTCTCAACTAGCATAAGTTTTTAGGTTTCAAATATCAGGCCGGCCCAACTCAAATTAATAATGACGGGTCTCAAATTGACTAATTTAACTCAATCTTGCAGCTCTAAATATTAATATATATATATATATATTTTAACCAAACAAAACAAGACCTCAAAATATAATAGGCTACGTTTATTTTACGGATTCGAATTTTTAATTCGAGTTGAGATGTGACATTTTTTGAGAGCTTTTAATTGTAATAAAAAAAGTTAAATGTGATATTTTTTGAGAATTTTTAACTGTAAAAATTTAAAACTGAAAACTCAAATCAATGAAATTAACGAGACGATAATTTATTAAAAGAATAGTGGTTGCCACATGGTGGCAATCTCCCTTGAGTAAAAGAACAGCTTGAACTCATAGATGAGAAAAGACCAGGCTGCAGCCACATAAGCGGACCGATTAAAATCTCGACTGATTCAGTGAATAGTTACAGAATCTAAAGAGCACAATTTGTCTCTAACTTTGCAGAATGTTGGAGAAACCTGCTAGTCATCAGGCGGCTGAGCAGAGTTTAGCGTCTCCACCGCGGCCACCTTAGCATCATCAGAGATATGTACTATTGGTATATCATATCTTGGTTCTCCAATTTCTTAATTCATGCCATTAGGACGAGATTAGAAAAAGAAAGTCCATAATTACATCTGGAGAGAGAATTCAATGTGTTATAGAGCGATGATACACATTACAAATATTTTATCATAGAAAAAGAAAGTTCATAAATTTTATGTGTTAAAATTTAGAAATTAGAACTGTGTGTGTGTGTCTTTCTATATATGTAAATCGTGATTATTGTCCCAGTTTTCTAGTTTTATAGCGTATCCTTATACTAATAATTGATGATCGAGTCAAGTAGTTATTATTTTCATATTGTAGTAATTTTTATTACATCATGCCTTGTAAAAAAGATCAATTTCATATAGGCCCATTTATTTTACTTATTTTAGTTTAGAATTCAAATTTTATTATAGTAAAAAATTTTAAAAAATAATCATATATAACTTTTTTATTACAATAAAAAATTCGTACGTAAAATCACATATTAACTCAAATTAACGAGCAACTGTGTTGTTGATGTTGTATCTGCAATGGTAACTCAGCACTGAGCAGTGACGAATGGAATTATTTGCTAGTTGTCTCTTGAGTCTTGTCTCTGCACAGAAAAAAGAATTAAGGATCCGTTTAATTTGTTGATTTGAGTTTTTAATTTGAGTTAAGATGTGACTTTATGTGAAAAATTTTTACTGCAGTAAAAAAATTAAATATAATTATTTTTAAAATTTTTTTATTATAATAAAACTCAAATCAAGAAAGTATTCATGCGCTGCAATGGTAATTAAGAATTAGGCTACGCACAAGCATCCATGCGCTGCAATCTGCAGTTAAAACTTCCCTTTATTGCTTTACCATTGATGGCCTTTTGTGCCTTAAAAAAAAACTCTTTCCTAACCATCTCTTAATTAATGACTTTGTAAAGAAGCAGAAAGTACTTATTAGACAGGGACATAGGGTGAATTTCAAATTTAACCCCTGATGATAAAAGTAGCTTTACTTTAAGAATTCAAAATCCAATAAAGTTGTCCCCCAAATTTTTCATAGGGACAAAACCATTTTGATATATTCTATATAAAAGGTATATTGAAACCTCTCAAAGGTATTATGTGTTTTTTATAGTAATAAATTGGTATTTTTAAGTTTTAAAAAACATTTTCTAGATACTTTGAGATCTTCTTTAAGGCATAAAATATCCAAATTACCCTTCAAATTAATTTATTATATACTAAAAATTTTGCTTTAGGGAGTATTTGAGTCCGATTTTATAAATAAAAAAGGTATTTTGGATATATTTGTAACTGAAATATATATGCGTAAATGTATAAAGAGATTAAATAAGATTCACCTCATTTAAAAATAGATACATTTATTTATTTATTTATTTCAAAAGTACTCGCACCTATATCTCATCAACTAACATAGTACCTTATGTGATCCCTCATGGAACGTATAAATATTTCTTTGTAGGAAATTTTTAATAGGTATATACTTGATTTTGATTGTTAAATCTGATTAAAATCATATTATAAATAATTCTTAATACAAATTTAATAATTAAAAATATAAAAATATTAGAAGTTCATTTTTTCTGTTCTTATCAGAAAAACTCCCTTCTTTATGAAGTAGCAGAACATAGAAAATGTTGATTTATCAAAGTTAACAATCCATTCATGTGAAAGTGTTGCGTTGAAACCTAGTCAGGTTTTAATGAAAGTTAGAAGAGGAACATTGAAGGAGCCAGCGAACAAACCAGCAATTTTAAGTAATTTCTACGTTTGCCCTTGTATTTTTTATAATCCAAAATATCTCCCACGTTTTTAACCTATATCAAAATATATCCTAAGTTTTTCAAAAGAAGTAGAATATTACCCTTTAAGTAGTCAAATTATAAAAATAACATAAATACCATAACTGGTCAATATTTAGACATTATTTTAGATTCTTAAATATTAATAATTAAGAATCTAAACTAGAGATAAATGGTAAATTTTTCAATAAGATAAATTATCTTTTGTTGAAATAAAAAACCAAAACTTAACAAGTCAGACTCGTATAGCTCAGACAATAACACACGCTCTCGTTATTGACACTTGATTAGTAGATTTAGGACCTATTTAGTTCTTTAATTCAAGTTAAAATGTAATTTTATGTGAGAATTTTTTACTGTAATAAAAAAGTTAAATATGACTGTTTCTGAGAATTTTTTACAATATCAAAATTTTAAACTCAAATTGATAAAATAAAAATAGTCTTAGACTTATCAAATCAGTCCCGTCATACACAGAATCCTGTTTTGACTCTTTTTTCTTGACTTTATTTGATTTGATTTTTTTTTTAAAAATTACATATTAATGGCTAAAGTAATATCTAAATAGTTATAATTGAGGTTTTTTTTTTGGTTTTTTAAAAACTTTGACCAATTTCAAAAAATGTAGGAGGTAATTTTAGATAGCCTAAAAACATGGGGATACCTTTTGAATTGGTAAAAAAAAAAAAAAAAAAAAAAAAAAAAACAGGGTAAATGTTAGATTTAAGGAGATGTTTAGTTCATAGATTAAGATTATGAGATTATAATTATTTTTAATTTATGTGTATTTTTTATGAGAAAAAATACTGTAACAAATCATGAATCATGATTCAAATCAGAGTATGAATACCCTACTAAACACACCCTAAAATTCAGGGATACCTTTTAGATTTTTTCCAATCACCCCACTAGTTGAGTAGAAAGATGATAACTCAATTCTACTTTTAAAAGATGAACTCGATTTCCACTTTTCACTCATGCTATCGCCGCACAGCGTTGAGAGTGAGGTCACCTTCCTGTTACTTGCTACCCTCTTGTCCCACCTTAACAATGGGGGAGATGGAAACAGCTGGGTTTGTGGGTCCCTCATTATTTCAACTTTGAACTTTATTACTGTCTTGTTCTTACGACGTTTGGTTGGAGGATTTAAATTATGTGATTCAAATTATTTTTTATTTACGTGTATTATAAAAAATATTGTAGTGAATCACGAATCATAATTCGAATCAGGGAACGAATCTCTCTACCAAACGGCCTTGCTTCTTCTTTTTCTGTTTTTACTGTTTATGTTTACTCTTGCATCCAACTGTTTGCCATTTTAGCCCGTTCACTTTATGAATTTAGAATTTGAGTTTTGTTATAATAAAAAATTTTTAAAAATAATTATATTTAATTTTTTTATTATAATAAATTTTTTTTACATAAAACCACATCTTCAAAATTTAAATCAACGAATTAAACTTGCCATTCACCTATGCATATTGTTCCCACATCCCAATTTCAAGTATTCTCTATTTTGTAAATGAACACTTTTCTGCCATATTTGGAAACATGGATAGCTTGCAAGGAGGCGCATCTAACTTACTTTTATGATAAGGGCATTATAATTGGCAATGTTTTAAGGGTCCGTTTAGTTCGCTGATTCAAGTTTTTAATTTGAGTTGAGATGTGACTTTATATAAGAGTTTTTTACTGTAACAAAAAAGTTAGATGTGACTGTTTATAAAAACTTTTTACTGTAATAAAATTTAAATTTTAAACTCGAATCGGTGAAATGTACGGGCCTTAATAAACTTCAAATCATTAGAAAATTGTACAAGAATCAAATAATATCAAAGCTACTACCCAAAAAAAAAAACGCTGTCTAAATCTAACTGAACACTGTCTATCTACCTCACTAGTGCTTTTCTTTTAAGATATTGGTACGGTTATCCTCAAATTTAAGTATACTAACATTTTGATCCTTAAACTTTTTATTTTTTACGTAAGAATCCCTGTATTTTACGTTTTTAACAATTTTATTCCTTGAAAATAAAATTGACAACGGATTTTTATAATTTAACAAGAAAATCACGTATCAATTGCGTCTTAACTTGAAATTTTACAAATAAATTTACGTTATATGCAAAATTTTCTCTTTACTACTATTAAAATCCATAGAAAACTATACTATTTTGCACTTATTGTAACTACGTATGTAAAACTTGCAATTATTAAAAATTTTACGCAACAGAATTTAAAAGTTTTATTAAGGTTGACAGAGACTAGCTAATGTTATATAAACAATAAATTAAATATAAGATTATTTTTATAAATGTCCTTCAAACTATGTCATTTGTTTTAAAATGCTCCCTCATTTTTCAAAATTGTTCAAAACACCATCTGATTTATAGAGAATGGTTCAAATTGCCCCCTCTATTCAATACCGTCTATGCTCTTAACAGATTGACTGACATGGCATGTTGTTAAGAATTAAATAAAGCCATCAGATTTTATATCGTTTTTTCTTTTTTCTTTTTTCCAACATGGATGGCTTAACACTGTCTATGGCTTGAGATTAAGAAGATATTTGATTCATGAATTAAAATTATGAGATTAAAATTATTTTTTATTTATGTGTATTTTTTATGAAAAAAAATATTATAACAAATTATAATCATGATTCAAATCAAGGTACGAATCTCCTTACTAAACGTCCCACTGTTCTTAATTTCACGCTTCACCACCACTTCTTGTCCTTGTGGAATTGAATGCGACACTGTTCGGAAGTGGACGTTGTTAAGCTCTATCGTGTTTTGAAAATTTTTTTAATTCATTAATCTATAATATTCTATGTACTTTAAAGCGGCTTTAACATATCCAAGTGGTATACTTTTTAAAACAAAATCGTAAGAGTATAATTTTAATAAATATTAAAACATAAGACAACAAAATGATCTTTTGAAAAACAAACAGAGAAGCTACCAAAGTGACTTATCATTAAAGAAAACTAAAGAATTAATGGTGAATAATAATAGTAATATGAATGAGAATAGTAATAATAATAAAATTGTGAAAAAAAATTGATTCATTTATTTAGTTGTAATTTGAAGAATACTATAGAATGAAATGTATATTTTCATGTTAACAAAATTACCCTTATGTTATATATAACACTAATATTTTATATATCAATATAATTAATATAATATATAAAATGCAATATAACATAATAAAATTATTATATAATATATTATATAATTATGATATATAATATAATAATATTATTAAAATTGTTAATATAATTATAATATT